GGATCATCTTGGTTGCAGTGTTACAAGTAGGGTAAGCTTTATGGCTGCCCCAAGTTCAAGCTTTTTTGGTCGTGATTCCTTGCATGCGCTATATGACCTGGGTTCTTCTCAAAGTTTTTTTCGTCGCAAGGGATCAAGGTTTATAGTTAGAGCAGATGTAGTAAGTATGACTACTCATGTATACAACAATGCGCAATTTAATAGCTTTCCATGTGCTTGTATTGTGTGGAGGCATCTTTCTCATTTCTAATTTGTATATCTCAAGCGTTCTTGCAGGTTAGACCGAATGTTAATAACTATTATGTCTCAATGTGCAGGATTACTATTCTGTCCTTGGGGTGTCAAGAAATGCTAGTAAATCTGAAATTAAGAGTGGTATTTTACTTTGGACTCTTTATTTTTCTGTCTTTATGATCAGATATTCATCATGATCAAATAAGGATATTTGGATGTATTGTGTTTATTTGCTTATAATTGTCAGCTGGAATCATAACGATTTTAGTGCTTTAGTTGTCTCTAAGGCAAGACCAATTTCCAAAGTAGGCTCTTTTGTTGATTAATGGCTGATTGCCCATTTGGTATTACTCTTGCTGCTGCCTGTACCCTTAAGAATTAGAAATATATTGCCTTAAAGGAAGCTTCTAACTTAAGACTGTCAAGGGGCCTATCAAACCCTAAGATATCAATAAAATGGGTGGGGCTTATCCCCAAATTAAATAACCATAAGGGCCTTTTCAATTCAAGGATTAAATTTAAATTGGTGTGATGTTGACATCTTCCCCTGCCTTTTTTGTATTATAGGATGATGCTTGTATATAGAATAAATATGGACTAGAAACGAGATTAAAGTTTCATTTAAACAGTTTGTATTTATTGTAAAGGAGACGAGGAACAGCGACAGTGAATCCAAATCTTCTATAGATGCCTATGATTAAAAAAAAAAAAAAATCACTTGTAATTTTTAGCTTGAGTTTACTCATTGATTGCTTGATTGAGCATATTCTTTACATGGTGGTGCTGTGCCGCCATTTTTCATTGGAATAACACGTCTCTCAACTTTTACATTTCAGCTTATCGGAAGCTTGCCAGGAGTTATCACCCAGATGTGAACAAGTGAGTTATGATTCTTTGTTTTTCATGTCTTTTCGATTCCTCTCCTTTGCCTTGTTCCCCCCAGTAACAGATATCTATATTGATAATTTTAAGTTAAAATATGGGCTGGATTGGATTTGTGATGGAGAAAATTGAACATTAGCAGAATCATAAATAGGATTGTATCTCTGGCCAATCACGATCTCAAAGTTTTTCCTGGTAATTTTATGATGAATTTTTTTAATATTAGGAAAAGTTCTATATGAACGCTGCTGAAGTCTGTATGACCTAAAATCATCATGGTTCTGTAGATTGGTGCTGTTAACCTGTTTATGTAGAGTAAGTATCCACGACAACTTAATAATGTAGGGTATCAATCTCAATCCTTTAGAATTTGTCCTTTATGTTTATTAAGCTGGGCTGTGTTGGATTTGTGATGGAGAAAATTGAACATTAGCATTATCATAAATAGGATTGTATCTCTGGCCAACCACGATCTCAAAGTTTTTCCTGGTAATTTTATGATGAATCTTTTTAATATTAGGACAAGTTCTATATGAACGCTGCTGAAGTCTGTATGACCTAAAATCATCATGGTTCTGTAGATTGGTGCTGTTAACCTGTTTATGTAGTGTAAATATCCACGACAACTTAATAATGTAGGGTATCAATCTCAATCATTTAGGGTTTGTCCTTATGATGAGTAGCTGGGCTGGTGGGGATTAAGTTGTATGAAGTGGTTACTTTTGATCCACTCCCTATCTACAGAATTTTGCACTATCAGGGAACCATATGGTACAGCTTACGTAAGAGACTAAAAAGTTTTTACTGCATGTTCTGTATTGTAATTATTTTAATGATGTAACACATGTTTACGGACTGTCAGTGGATTTGACGTAACTCTTAATGGATAACTTCCTTGGACACTTGACATGAAAACTCTAATTCTTGAGAAGTGGATCAAAGGTAACTACAGCTCTAATAGGTTTTTGGCCTGCAAGTGACCGCATAGCTTCCTTAGTTGTTGGCTTTCTTTGGTTGGATATGACTCTGGCATAATAGCATCCAAGGGAAGGTCATAGCAATAAGCTGGCTAAAATGTCTTGAGGAAGGAGGTTTAAGTCACCGCTACTGCGACTTGAATTGGGCCTGATACGTGTGTCCGTTTTACTAGTTGTATAATATTCTGAGGTCAGACGAACATCTGATGAAGGAAATTTTCTGGCACTTCAACTTTCGTCTGAATTTTTCTCATTGATGCTGCAGAGAACCAGGCGCAGAACAGAAGTTTAAGGAAATTAGCAATGCATATGAGGTAAAAGTTCATTTGTTGATCGAAAGCCCGATTGTCTTTTATGAATTTCTAACTCTAATACTTACAGGTCGTCTGAAATTCAAATTCTTTTGCAGGTTTTATCAGATGATGAGAAACGATCCATATATGACAGATATGGAGAGGCTGGGCTTAAAGGTTCTGGAATAGGCATGGGGGTAAGTTACCTTGTTATAATGAAAAAAAAATGTGTTGACTAATTCTGCTTCTTAACCTTGGATTATGTGTGTTATTACAGGATTTCAGCAATCCTTTTGATCTGTTTGAGACTCTGTTTGAGGGTATGAATCGTGGCATGAACACCAGAGGTTCCTGGAATGGAGCTCTTGATGGTGAAGATGAGTATTATAGTCTTGTCTTGAACTTTAAGGAAGCAGTTTTTGGAGTAGAAAAGGAGATAGAGATCAGCCGGCTAGAGAGCTGTGGAACTTGCAATGGTTCAGGGGCTAAACCGGGAACCAAGCCGACCAGATGTACCACTTGTGGGGGTCAAGGTAGGGTTGTCTCATCAACAAGGACACCATTGGGCATTTTCCAGCAGTCAATGACATGCTCTTCATGCAATGGGACTGGAGAAATTTCAACACCATGCAATACGTGTTCTGGGGATGGTCGAGTGCGGAGGACAAAACGAATAAGTCTGAAAGTCCCAGCTGGTGTAGACTCTGCTAGTCGTTTAAGGGTCCGAAATGAAGGAAATGCTGGAAGGCGAGGTGGTTCTCCTGGTGATCTCTTTGTTGTTATTGAAGTTATGCCAGATCCAGTCCTTAAACGTGATGACACCAACATTTTATACACTTGCAAGGTGTCATACATAGACGCAATCTTGGGAACTACAATCAAGGTTCCTACTGTTGATGGCATGGTGGATTTAAAAATCCCCGCTGGGACCCAACCGAACACCACACTTGTTATGGCTAAAAAAGGTGTTCCCCTGCTGAACAAGAGCAGTATGAGGGGTGATCAGTTCGTTCGGGTGCAAGTTGAAATCCCCAAAAAGCTGAGCAGCGATGAGAGAAAGCTTATTGAAGAACTTGCTGATCTAAGCAAAGGCAAGACTGCGACTAGCAAGAGATAATATTTTATGGGATCCGCTTTTTCCGACGAGTGTACTTCTAACCCAAAAATTTCAATCTCCTGTCATGAATGCATCTTTATTGACCATGTAACTTACTGAGGAGAACTGGGCAGTTCATGATATTTGACCAGTTGGAGAGGTTTGAATATGGTGGTAGTTATAGGTTATTGATTAGCCCTCGGGAACAAAGGTGGGGTTGACGAGCACAAGAGATTAATCGTCCCCTTTGTTTTTTTTGGATATCTTCGGGGTGCAATGTAATCTTATTTACATAAACGTGATGCTTGGGCACAGGAATCATATACATACATTTGTCAAGAAGAAGAAGGGATTATTTTCCCATGACAGCATATGTTGGACGTCCTAACTACTTGTTGGCCAATGTCAGTGCTCTGCTAGTAGGCTGTTCAAAAAATGTAACCCAATGTTAGAATCACAAAGAAACTAAATGATCCCAAATCCCAATGTAAGTGAATGGTTTATAAGTAATTTTTTTACCAGTGATTTAGGAAATACAAGGCAAATGCATGAAAAAAATTGTTTCGATTTATATGAAATGTATTTATAAGTATTTAAATAAGCATATCCAAACTGGTACTATGTATGAAGGTCATGCCTTTTTCCGATAGCTAACTGTGGAAGCATGTCAACCATTTGTGGCATCATCTTAACATAACTAAATGATGTGGATTATGAATTTATGATGACCATTTAAAGCAAGGCTTCACAACAGTGATTATGATGACAATTTTAAATAAACTCATAACAGTGACTATCAACTGGATCAATAAATCAGACTTCCATTGAGAACTTGGTTTGCTTTTGGAGATGGAAAGTTAGGGATGGGTAAGATTCATTCTATACGCGGCTCGAGATGGTACGAGGTAGCTTTTTGGTGGAAATCATGAAAAAAAATCTCCTGAAAACTACTGCTAAAGGTAGAATAGACAATATTCTTTTGGGGCAAAATTACTTTTTATAATTATTCATTGACAAATACGAGTTATTAATCAGGATAATAACTCCTGCGGCATTAATTGATAAATAATTTGGCATTTCCATTGTTGGAAGCTGGATCTTTTTTCTTCTTAATTTTGTTTAACCAATTAGATTATTTGCTTAATTAAATAAATATTATTAAAAATAACAATTTAAAATTTAAAATGCTAAAATTATATAAAACAATTCAAGTCAACCAATATAATTTTTAGGCCAAAAACTTGAGGGAAAATATAATTTACTGTATTATTTTTATTTTAACTATAAACTATACCCGTCTACTGAAATACGAGCAAAAGTTGCCGCAAAAGGTAAATCGCAGTTCACAGACCTCGAGAGACACATACGCCAGTTTCATTGATAAAGAACTACAATCATTCGATTGCTCTTCTAATACCAATTCAATCAGTCCTAAGATCCCTTTATGCCATACCTCTATGCGTGAGGATCGAGAGTTAAAAAGCCACACTCTATCAAGGGAATGGGAACTTTAAGAGCTGGCAGAAAAAAATCATTGTCTAGCTTTCCATTTAATGAAATGAAACGGACAAGAGAAGATCCTGAGAATTTGATACATTAAATTGAATTTTTCTCAGATCATATGTTAAATGATTACATTTACTGTTAACAGACGCATGATTGGGGGAAAAAAAAGAAAAGAAAAACAAATTGTATAGAGACAATAGCTTGAGCTAGTGGTTATCCAATATTCGATTCTACCTTCTGATGGAGACGATTCTGGGGCAGCTTAAACCATACACAAGGCAAATCTCTTATTTGGAAGCAACTAAATTTTGTAGGAGCAGCTCCAAATCAGTCAATCTGCATGATGGAGCACACAAATTATAGTAACAAAATTAAGCGAGAATAATGGGACAATACCCAGGTTGTCAACAATGCACTATACCTTATGTTACTCAAGTCGGGGTAGACTGCTATTGCATCACTAAAATCCTACATTAGATTCAAAAAGACGATGCATCAAAATGTAGCCGTTGGTTGGTATTTTCTAGTTTAATTTTTGAACAGATGGCAAATGCCTCGCCTGGTTAGCTGTTGAAGGCGTGTAGGAAACCACGCATGACATCCCAGCTTTAGTTGCTGCCTGTGGATATTAATTTAGTTGGTGAGAGTTCAAGAAATTTGCTCCCCTTTTAGAAAGATAGAGTTCAAGCATTGTGATTTATACTAGTTAACTTCATTCAATGCACTTAAAGCAAAATAAAAAATAAATTTTAGATCTGTAGTTTGAAGCCATGTTAATATTGTCACATTGAAGAAGCCAAAGGCATTAAGCGCATCTTTTGTTCAAAGTTCAAATTACACACACAACACAACATTGATTATTGTTGAGAACCTAACCTGTAAGCCAATTACACTATCTTCTATCACCAAGCAGTCCTTTTCTGACACACCCAGCTTCTACAAGACACAACATGTGAATCATGCCCCTTATGTCAGCACACGCAATAAGGCTTAGATTTTCATGTATCTAAGTTACAATATATATTAATCTAAACCTTGGAAGCTGTGAGATATATTGATGGATCAGGCTTCTTTGCCTTCACATCATCACCTGAAAATTAAAAATGATTAATAAAAAAAATAGTTGATCTCAAATGCCACAGTTAATTAAAAAACAGCCAAACCAGACAAGCAGAGCAGAATTCATCAAACGCATCATGCCGAAAATATCCTCTGGGAAAGATTGGCAAGAATTGGGTTCGCATAGAAATGGAGAACTAAGCTATCTCAGGAGAGAGTTAACTTTTTTGGCATGTTGAAGAGACGGCAAATTGATTTAAGAGTCTGATGCCTCGGGCATCGTTAGTTAAGCATTGATCCACTACTTTATATATACACAATAAACGCCTCCATGTTATATGAACAATATAAAGGGATATAAAAGTGGGCTTAATACCTGCTAGGAAGCAATCAAGGCTCTCAAACCGCTCCTAAGATACCAAAAATTAAGTAGGTTGAACATATGTTGGAAAGTATATTTTCATTGTGGAGAAGTATACGAGAAAATGGGCTTACAATTCCTATAAGATTCTCAAGACAGAGAACAACTGAACTTTTAGTCGCTGCCGAGCAAACAGCTAGCTTTTTCCCCTACAATAGCAATAGAGGGGAAAAAAAATACTGGCCAATAAGCAGACGTGCTTAACTATAAGAATGATAAGAGGGAATAAAGTGATCAAAAAGATGTCTAAGAGAGAGCAGATTCTGCCAGAAGTTAGAAGCAGATACACGTCAGGCGGGACATCAATAAGAAGAGATCGATACACTGTTTAAAACATGATCTTACAGCATCCTTGACCTCATCCATCAATCTCAGAACTCCAGGTCTGGGTTTTACCTATTCAACAGTAGCTTATTTACAACGTAAACAGCACCTTCTCGCTTGAAGCAGACAGAATATGAGTTAGAATAGGAAAACAAAAGAAGTATACTTACAGCTCCGGACTTGATTATTTCTTTGTACCTCTCAGTTTTCCAATCCTAGACCAAGAAGAAATGGAAGATATAACAACGGCAGATTGTAGGTGAGATGACAACCACTCCAATGGTCATAAATAAAAATTCAGAAGTAATACGTTCTTTCATGGCCTCTCTAAAGTAATATGTTATTCATGCTCTACATGGATACAAAGTACTTCTGGTAAGTTATTATGAGTTACCTTCATCCTAAGTTCCAACTGCTAAACACAGAAAATATATACGGTAATATGTAAGACAACATATACACCGTTTCTCATAGCAGACAAAGCAAGACACGTAGAAGCATTGCAAATCGCCAAAGTAAAAGTAAGCACACATCATCAAGCAGAGAAAAGCACCTGAATAATGTCTATCAGCTTAGCTCGATCGTCATCATTACTCGGAGGGGTCTCAAATATCGTAGAAGAAGGCCACCCATGCTCTTTGAAGTACCTTATAATCCATGAATACCGACGAAACAAAAGAACAGATAAGCAACATCAAACATAGAGACATAAAATATGTATTTGAAGTGAGAGATAAACAAACCATCGCATTTTGGGTTTGCCTCCGCCAATGCGATTCTGGAGCTCATCGTAGAATTCGATGTCCCAATTGAGAGGTTGAGAAGAAGAAGAGGGACAGAGAACATTGAAGTGAGTAAATGCATCGTTGTATGCCTGGCGATGCAAGTGCTCGGACTCAAGGATGACACCATCGCAGTCGAAAATGAGAGCTTGAAGAGAAGATGAGGAAGCTGAAGCAGACACTGTGAGGACACGATGTTTGGAGGAGAATAGCTTAATTCGGGGATTCAGAAACCGATGTTTGGTAATGATGGTGGTGGTGAGGGAGAGAGAGCTAAGGGGACGAAGATAAGAGGACTTGGTTGGGAGACTACGAGGAGGAGAGGTCAGAGTAGACGCCATAAGAGTTGAGAGTTGAGATGATCAAGATTGTTGAAGCTCCTCTATTTCTGTGGCTGTGGCATCCGCTTCAGCCCCTCTAAAAATGTCTTCCAGCCAGTGGATTTCCCAGGGGCTATGAATTTATGATCGTTACTCGTTAGTCGTAGAATCAGTTTTTTAATTAAAAAATTATATCCCTTATTAATGTAAAACTAAAAACTAAGTTTACTAATAGGAGAAAATTAAAAAATTACTTAATTATAATATATGATATATATAATTTTTTAAAATGATTATGTATAATATTATATTATATATTAGTTTATAAGTTAAGCAAATTAGTTTAAAAAATAATAAATACGATATTTTAAAGTAATTTATTTATCTTTATTGATATCTTCAGATTATTCAACCAAACATTATATTTCGTAAAATGGCTAGTATGATAATAATAATGCCAATAGAAGAATATTACTATAATAATTATACTATATTACGATTATAGCTATAGGACATCGTGCATTCGCTGGCCACAAAAAAGGGTATCGTGTCATAATAAAAAATAAAAAAAAAGGGTATCGTGCATTCAACCTGTATGGAGACTGTCATTTAGTAGGCAAAGTCCCCCCCCCTTTTGGTGCATAGTACACAAAGTTCGTGATGTAAATATTTTTACTGACATCAGTGCTTGGTAATTCAATGGATGAATTAATGGGAAGGTCCGAGTTCTATTATAACTTAAAATAATTGAAAGAAGGTGCCAAGGGAAAGAAGAATTATGTATCACCGAAACCAATGGCAGAATAGAAGCAATGGTTGCATATTCAGCTAAACAATTTGAAAAGCCACTGTTGAAAATATGAGGCACACCTTGAATTGGATGAGCCTACCTTCTTCTTCCACAGCTTGGGTGAGTCCGCCTTCATCACTATGTGAAGTAGTGAATCTTTAGGTCCATCTACAGGAACGTGGCTGTATTGTTTTTCAGAAACCACAAGGACAGACGGCGGCAAGTTTGGGTCTGATGATGTAAATCTGTTTGCAACTTTCCTTTTCCCCTCTTCCGTCCTCTCTGCCCCTTTGCTTTTTTTTTTTTTGTTTAAATTTTGTTTTAAAAAAAACTAGGTGGAGCTAAGTTGGAAGAGTGTGTTGCTATATAGGACAGAGTTGTGGAGAGAATGGATCGGAAATTGAAAAGGTAAGGAATTGAGTTATATGCAAGTCAAAAATTCAAAAATTATCATAGTTTAGGGATTGAATTACAAATGAGTTAAAAATTGAAGAATTAAAAGATTAATTTTTTCTTTTTCTCCCCTTTTTTGGTACGTATAACGCAAAGTTCAGGATGTAATACAAAAGCATGTTGTATGATTGGGCTCAACTAGCATAATTCAACTTGCTTTGAAGACTAAATCCTAATCTGTTTCATATAATTACGTTAATTGAGTAAAATCTAAGTTATAATTTTTGTGAGTGTGTGTCAAATTATATGTATAAGAAAATCGATATAAATCAAGATAACTTGCAAATTGTTAAAAAAAATCTCGTAAGCTTTTGGGATTGGCTTTTATTTACTCCGTCAACTAACGTTTGCCTTTCATTGTTACAAACCTTCTGCCTTTGAACGTTAGCTCAGCACCTCATATACCATCTCAGAGCGATTGTGTATCTCAAAAAGTAGTTCTGCCTGTCCACTCAACAAAACAAAAGAGTACTTACAGCTGAAAAATCCAGCACTATTGCTCCGGTGTCGGTAAATCCATTTTGGATTCTCTTTCGCATAATGAGTTCCCGAATAAGCCTCAATTATATTCCGAGATCTTACAATTCACCTTTATTAGCCACGAGTATTATTTGTTTTACGCATCAAGCACAGAGAAAATGTTGATACAAATTCTGGGTGATTTAATCAAGACATCGATATATATTCCGTCGTCTTCATTCTGTTTTACTTACAAAAATCTAATTCCTTTTCCAAACTCGCCATTTATTAGCAACTCCAGGTTCCTTTATTACACACACACTTTCCAGACAGAAGCAGAACGATGCCCATAACGGTACATAACAGAAAAATACTGCTAAAACAATTATCAGTAAAATCTCACTCAATAAATTTTTACTATTGCGGTTTCATATGGTTCAAGACTTCCAAGTCTTTCCGGTCTCTTCCCAACAAAGGAACAGAATGGCCTCTAACTCGGTTTTACGTCACCTCGTTAGATCCCAAGGCAAACTTACAACCGCCGCAAACCAAACATTTCAGAGCAGGAGAGAGAACCAAATTACTCATCCAGGAGGAGCATGTAAGTATGGGATCAGGTCGTGTGGATTCCAAGAAGATAAGCGAACCGCCATCAGATTGAGATTTGACAGCAGATAGCAAAAACAAGAAGAAAATAAATATATAGAGATGCGTCATTTCACTCGAAAAAGTATGGCAATCCACAAGTCACAATCTCTCGAGGATACATAGAGATCGTGAAAAATCCCCTCCTAACCCCTGCCACACAAGAGGGAGGCAAATGCGAAGCTTGCTCGGAATTTAGACGCCACCGTAGAGTCAGAAATCCGAAAAATGCAAGTCTGTAACAAACTCTGTACAGGTGTATCGAACTTCAACGTATACAAATAATTCTGACACCAGATAGTGACGCATATCTGCAAGCCCTAAACCAATCCCATGGATCCTCGAATCAAACGCGAGATTAATAAGCTAACCAGCGAGATTAAATGAACAGAGGCAATTTCCAATTTTCCATGGGACAAATCGAGACGATAATAATAAAAATCTCAATCTGGACAGATGGTTCCTTAGCTACAATTTCTAGGGGTTGAAAAAATGGCCACCACAATGGCATTTCCAACCCAGTGGCTTGTAATTAGAGTACCGGTTACCCGGGTATGATGGACCGGAGAAACTCAGAGGAGTCTTTCGGGTTAGACCCGGCTTGAGCTTCTCGTGGCTGGGCAAGGTTGGAACTTGAACCGCCATGCATGGATGGCACGCGTTGCACTTGTTGTGGCAGCTAGGAGGCATCGAACCTAGCCTGGTTTTCTCCTCAAGAAGAAGATCCTGCACATATCCAATTGAATCCATATCAAACCAGAAGCACAATCATGAAGCGGACAATTATATTGGAGACACAACCCTGGGCTTTAGAAAGCCTACCCGACGAGAAGTCGAAGGCTGAGGCTGATTAAAACAAAAAATTGGAGAACAGGTGATGCAGGACTATAATAAGCAAGGTGGTGATTGTGGTGAAGTGCTGATATAAATTAAGCGAAGCCATGACCATGAGAGCCTATCATGTCACATGGTAGTCATTCATTCCCCATCTAAACCAAAACAAGAGTAACTGGTAAAAAATAAACGCAAGTCAAGTGAGATGCGAATGGCAGTTTTCTGAAACTTCCTCCGCCGCGAGAGAGAGAGAGATCGGGTTCTGGAGAGGTGGAGTTTGTGTGTTAATGGCGTCTGGAGGGAAGATAGGTACATAAATTGTTGGGATGCGGTGGCAGCCTGCAAGTTTAGAGAGAGATAGTGGAGTCTGAGACAGAGAGAGAGAGAGAGAGAGAGAAGAGGGCGCAGACTGCAGCAGAAAAGTGAAAGGAACGATTCAAGAAAGGTAAACAAATAGATAGTATCCCATCAGTATCAAGGACCGCTTGACCAGTATTCTATTAGGAGTTTTGAGGCTGATTATTAGTGGCTAGACGGACAGCGAAAGGATTTGTGCATCTCTCAGAGAGGTAAAAAGCCAAGTCAGGCAGTAGTTAAATTCGGCATTTATTATGCTAGCTAATTTCGTCTCCTTTTTCCATATCGTGGACTCATGGCTTTGACTGCCATTGACTTGGTTATTAATAATGAGAAGTTGAGGGCAGCTTCAGCTTCCACCTGACTTGATTAACAATTTATATTATGGCGGCAAAATAGGTTCTGCTGACTGGAAATTCTCAATCCGATGCAAGAAAAAAGAACGAGCTTCATGTCCCTAAAAGCTTTTTGGGTTGTTTGATAAAAGCAACGTGGGATCTTTAAAATTTTGTTAATGTCGTAATCCTCTTGGCTTCATATTCCCACAGAGCCAGAGGAAGTATCAGAAAGGGAAAAAAAGAAAAGAAAAGGAAACGTTACAGACATTTCTTTTTATTAGCAAGTAAGAGGCACTTAGAATTTAAGAAATGACAAGCGATTGTGCATGGACAAAGAACGGTTTGAGGCCTGCTGTCTATAAAGATAACTTGCTAAAATTGGATTATTAGCACGCTTCCATGAACATCTTACACAACATAAGCTTGAGGGGTATTTGGAACTTTCTTAGTGGTACAGTTTCCATTTCAAGGTTTCTTGATTCCTTGTTATGATTTCACAGCTTGCAATTAGTCAAAGCAGCTAATAGATCATTCACATCGCAGTATTGCACAGTGAGAGAGAGGGGATTGTGATAGTGAGGGAGCGTCGTACGTACCCTTTTTCTACTGAGAAGGAAAAAAGATCTATCTGCAAAAAAATATTTCCATTTTTTGTGGACTACAGCCTTTTTCCATAGTTCTTACAGAAGAGAGAGGAGTTGTCGAAGATCATCAAAGCAAGTAAAGCAATCTTCGCTTTCGTCGCTTTTTCTGAGTTTTCCAATCAGGGATTCAATTATTTACCATTCTCAGAGTAGTAAAGGTGGCGCAAAAGACAAGGATAGTCACGCTACCTTTCTGTGTACCATTCTTGCCCTGGCATAATAATAAACGAATACTGTGTCTTAAGTCTTGACTCGTCTCAATTACAACTTCGATTTGTATGGATTTCGTAACCTTATTAATGGCTGCGAGAAGACCCTGTCGTCTTCGTGGATGGCGCGGGATCGGAGTAGCGGAAGGGCGTGGGTAATGTGACAATTGTGACTGCAGAGATTATACAAATAGTAAGATTTATAAGTAATTTTTTAAGATTTCACGTGTTAATTTAAAAAGTGTTTAGATAAAAACCAAATCATGATTTTAAAAATAATTTTACAGTATGTGAAATAAATATGTGAAAGAATTTATCTCGATTTATAAAAAAATACTTTTAAAAAATACT